AAAAAAAAAAAAAAAAAGATTCAACCCAGTTGATGAAAATGTTGTATATAGGCTCACTGACAAGAAAGAAAAGAAGTCAATACCATCACACATCAGAATTGAAGCCTTCAGGGCCGGGGAGATGGCTCAGTAGGATAAGGGCTTGCCTGGCAAATGCAAGGATCGGAGTTCAGTCCTCGGTTCCACCAAAAAATTAAAAATAAAGAACATAATTGAAGCCTTCCTAATCATTCTACCTGGGCTAGGCCTGGTGGCACAAACCCATGACCCTTGGAAAGTTGAGGCAGGATGATCACAGTCATCGAGGCCCATCAGGGACACACACAGTGAATTTCTAAGCCAGCCTGAACTGCGTGATGAAACTGCCTCAAAAAGGCAAAAAACAAACTCCACCAAATTCCCTAGTATCTAGATTTTGTATTACTTCCCAGACAATAGAAAAGACTTCAGAATACAAACAACTATGTCATTCAGTAGAAACTCAACTTTGTTAAGTATACAAGCCAATCACAGGTGGAGAGGACAAAATTATTAATACATGACTTACTCATTCCAATACGCTCTTTTTCTTCCTCGACACTGTCCTGAGGAATGGAGCAACACAGAATCCGGGGTAAAAGGATTGATATTCACTTGAGGAGTATGTCGGATGTCATACTCTCTTTTTCCAGATTTTTCTGTGTCCATGAAAAGAGAACCCCGGAGTTTAACAGAGCTGGAATCAATTCCTCGAGCTTTGGAAAGCAAACTCTAAAGAAGAAAAAATACAGTTTTCAGGATTCAAGTACTTCCTGTGGAGGGACTCAGCCTTCTCCATCCAACCTTCAACAGCCCTTAAGTGGCTGAATTCACAGGGCCAAGAAACCACAAGGGTTGGGCAGTAGCTTAGTGGAAGAGCCTTCACCTACCAAATCAGAGGATCCAAAAAACCCAAATCTAGTGCACAAGCTTTTGTTGTATTTCACACAAAATACCTTAACAGTGACTAATGTAGGAGGCAAAGACTGAGAGTAGATACATTTCTGAAAAAGACAGCAAATAAATAGGTCTCTAGCGCTAAGAGGAGCATTTATGATAAAACTAAGTTCATCTAAAAATAAAAAATAGTCCCACAAAAGTTCCCCTTCCCCTTCTAAACCCGGCTTTGGAAGCCACCACCGCAGGACTCCACCCCTGGCTTCAGAAAGTTTGCCTTGGTCAAGTCTGCTAATAAACAGCTGGGCTGCAAAGCACTGCGCCCAGGGTTTGTGACTAACACTGAAATCACGAGGTTCTCGCCTTTAAAGGTCCATTTCCCATTTAACTTTACCAATTCGACGCTAGACCTACCATCTCGGGAAGTGACCATGCTTAATAGGCTGTGACTCTCGAAGCTTTAAGAGGAGCGGTCATTTGCTCAACCGCTGGCCATTTCCACACGCAGGTGTCTCAACACCTACCTACTTGTTTAACACAAATGACCAACAAATAGCCCGGCGAAGCCAACCAAACTTAGGCTCTGTAAACGCGCGGACAGAAACAGTCGTTCACCCGACACTGTGTACCAAGGTGACTGAAGCGCGGCGTGAAATTATCTCCGGATCTTTAAGCTCGGGGAAAGCCAGCTCGACTCTCCCAAGCGGGCGCGCAACCATTCGCTCCACACCAAAACTTTCCCCAATTGAGACCACAGAACCCGAAACAAGCGCAAGGAAATTAAAAAAAAAAAAAACCACCAAACACCTTCTGCCCCAGCCGCCCAAATTACAGTCCCGATCGCCTCGCTTCAAAGGCGCCATCTGGCCCGGGAGTGTCAGGTGGCAGGGACGCCCTGCGCCGCACCCTCTCCGCACTGCACTCGGGGGCCCCCGAAGGCCCGGGCGCGGCTCCCCACCACCCCTTTGTAAGATGAAGACGTTCCCATTGTTCGGTTACATAATCTTAACGGACGACCGCCGAACAGGGCCAGGAAGGGGGCGCTGCCAACTCCGGGCGGCCCGGGCGCGGCTCACCTTGGGCGTGTGCGGGGTGTCGAAGAGCCGCAGCTTGCGGAAGGTCTTGTGCGGCGGGGTGCCCGGCTGCTCCGGCCGCGGAGAGTGGGGCCCTTCGCCCGCCCGCCCTCCGCAGCGCACCGGGGAGAAGGCGCTGCCCAAGAAGTAGGCGGCGGCAGGAGATTTGACCGGCGACGAGGAGCCGAAGCCCTCCTCCTCCCACGAGTCGCCCTCCGTGCCACCGCCTGCCCCGTCCGCGCCGGCGCCCGGGCTGGTGCCCTCCAGCAGCATGTCCTCCTCCTCCAGGTCCCCGGGGCTGCCGGGCGCCGGGCCGGGCGAGCGGCGGCTCTCGAGCCCGGGCTCCGTGGGGCTCCTCGCCGGCGGCAGCGGCGAGTCGGGCTCCTGGAAGGCCGAGTCCTCGCCGGTGCTGTGGCCGCTACCCTCTTCCTCCTCCTCCTCCTCCTCTTCCTCACAGTCGCTGCACGGCGAGAAGATCAGCTTCTGCCGCAAGCTGCAGGCGGCCCCCGCGCGGCGGGAAGGCGGCGGCTGCTGCCGGCTGAGGAAGCTCATAGTGGAGCTGCGGCCGCGGCCGAGCGGCGGCGGCCCGCGGACTCCGGGACACCGACGGCCAGGGGGCGGGTCCGCCACGTGGGGCTGAGCGCGC